CCTTGGGTCCACCATATCAAGTAACCTGTCTTTGGATACAGAGCTAATGTAAATAAGTGCATTGAGAAAGCAGCATCAGTAATGGATCAGCTGGGAAAACGAGTATGGGACAACGACATGCTGACAACAAACACCAGGATAGTGGTATACAAGGCGTACTCAACACGCTCCTGTACGGCAGCGAAGCCTGGACCCTGTACTCTCGCCAAGAGCGTCGACTCAACACAGCTGGAAGGATCATATCACCAACAAGGACGTATTGAGACAGTCAGGGTTACCCAGTTTGTTCGCCTTGCTAAGCCAAAGGCGATTGAGATGGCTTGGCCACGTAAGCCGCATGGACAACGGCCGTATACCGAAGGACGTGCTATACGGAGAGCTGGCAACTGGATCAAGACCTACAGGAAGGCCTGCTCTTCGCTACAAGGATGTCATAAAACGTGACATTAGGGCTGGAGACATCCACCCGGCGTGCTGGGAAGCAGTGGCTGCTGACCGAAATCGATGGAGGCATGTTGCCAAAGCAGGCCTCCAACTCACCGAAAAGAGGAGGGAAGAACAGTGGGATGAGAGAAGACAGCGCAGACGACAAAGAATAGCTTCAGTCCCAGCTCAACCAAGCGAGCATTACATCTTTGCGATCTGCAACAAAGGATACCGCTCCCGAATCGGACTTTCCAGCCACAGTCGGCGCTGTCACTCAACCATAGACTGATCCTGATCCTTGACACGATCTCCATTGTCTCCCGAGACAGAAGGATACCAACAAGAACAACTTTCATAACAAAATTGTTAAACTTTATCACCAATTAGCCTATAATTTTGTCATTTTAAAAAACCGGACTGTTTTGATACCTGTAACACATAACGACTGAGACTTGACATTTTATCTGAATTTATACGGAAAAAAATATGATTAGAATATAGTTCTGTTGGTACACAAGTAGCACACGTCTGTGGTACGCATATTTTTTGAAGCCCCCCCCCCCCCTCCCGGAAAACCTTAGCTACAGGGCTCTATCTAGCTGTATTTAGATTACTGCATAACAAAATATTTTGCAGGCCTTGATTTATAAAACTAATACCAGTAAAGACTTGATATATTTTTAAAAGCTAGAACTAGTGGTGGAATGAAATTTGGAATTCAAGTTGTTAAGTTATCTATATACTGCAAGTTCTTTCTACTTTTTAAAATGCTTATGCCATAGAAACAACGTTTAGCTTGTATATAAAAGTATATGTATAAGAAAGAAATTCTGATCCACCAATGAATATATAAATACATGTACGATATGCAGATTTAAAAATGAATCCTGGCATATTGTATTTCAACTAGGGCGGACAAGTTGTTTTAGAAGCGAACTGTCTAACATTATCGCACATGCGTGGCATGACGTTTGCCCATGGCACCCTGTTTAACCTCGATTACTTTAGAAGTACATTTTTCCGCGTGGAATTAATTTACATTAAGTTCGCATTCACAAATTATCCGCGGAAATTTGTCCCAGCGTATTTAATATACATGTAAGGCCTTTAGTGATAGTTTAGGAAATCTGCGTAGTTTTCTACCAGCGGATGAAACATAAATTGAGATTCCGCGGAATTATGACGTGAAAAAAAGTACGTCTACAGTGTATATTTTCTGCGTCGACCTCAAGGTACACGCTATATCTACAAAACCACAATTCAGATTAGAATGAAATTCGGTACAGACAAAGTCATACACAAAGTCTAAAATAGAATATGCTGAATAAAGTTTTTCTTCTTGTTGTGACGTCACATTGTGAAAATGACGTCACTATGTAGGTCACTTGTGACGAAAATGGTTGTCTCAGTCAAACTCGTTAAACAAACGACTGTTCAATTTATTGTATATCTTAGAAATTTCTCTGCGTTATCATATAATAATTTTTACATAGTTTTTTAATGTAAATGAGTTCCTATAAATTCAATTAATGATTGGATTGATCGTTTAAGTAAAGGAAGGCAGATGGTTAAAATTGATACTTGTCAATTTCTCAGTGAAAGTAAGTTTGAAAAAGATATGTGTTTTTAATTAAGCAATATGCTATCAAAGACCTCCAATTTACACTTTGAAAAACAGTTGTATATTTGAACAATAAGATAATTATTAAATACCTAAGATATTGTTTTGTTTAGATTTAAAACATTTTAGAAATGATAAAAAGGAGGCACCCATTCTCTATCCACCTTGAATAAAGTTCTCATCCGAAACAGAAGATTTGTGGTTTAATGGTCCCATGCTTATTTTTGGAAAGGATATCCATATCCATCCATTCTGTTGCTGAGATTTGACCATTTCTGACAAATGAACTGTTCTTATCATAAAAGTTAACTCACATGGAAAGGAATATTAAACTCATAAAAGTCTTGCAATATTTGTAACAGAACGCTGCAGAAGGGGTTACGTGACGGCCAATATAACGTGATTTGCGCATGTGCAGAACGATAGTTGATGTGCATTAAAATAGAAGAGGATTAAGTTAAACTATAATCAAGATTGAAACCAATTTTTTTTTTCTTTTATGGAAGTAATTCAATTAGTTCGCGAACTTTTTTATCACTCCTCGTATATATATATTTGATCTCTTCTTTGTTTAGCCAAAACGACTTCACTTATACCAGCAGTCTCTCACGGTACATATTTTACATAAAAATGTATGTTTATGGCTACAAAGATCATAAAATTTCAACGATATGCATATTTTACCCCAGACCATAAAAATGATTTTGTTTCGTTTTAGAAAAATTGCTTTACATGAAAAGTGCTCCGGTAGCAACTTAATCATTCCACGGAATGGTGTAAAACTAAGCTGTCTTTGGATAAACTACCGAGATTGACACAATACACATAACAACAAAGTTAAAAGACGAAACAAGTTGCTGTCCTTAAAAAAAGGACTGCAATACGTGGACCATATGCAAGTGTTTCTAACCGAAATTCATTTTAAGAAAATATCTAGGTGTATTAAATATTCATGTAGGTTTGTTCAAAATTTCTACAATGATCGCTTACATATGACAGATTTTAGTCTCAAAGCAAAATTGTTAACTTTTATCTCTGATTAGCCTTTAGTTTTGTCAGTTTTAAAAATCGAGCTATTTTGATACATGTATCCCATAATGGCTGGGACTTGACACCTGTTCTGGATCAATTCGAAAGAAATCTATTATGGGAAAAATAGATCTGAAGGTGCACGTGTAGCACGGCTCTTTAGTACGTAGATTTTTTCTCGAAGCCCCCCCCCCCCTTACCCACATTAAAAACCGTTGCTACAGACCTCTATCAAACGGTATTTGGTTTGCTAAAATATCGATAATTTTGAGAGCCTTGATGCACAAAACTAATGCCAATGAAAAAGTGTTCTATCTTTTAAAAGCTAGAACTAGTCGTTGAATGACGTTTTTTTTAATTCAAGTTGTTAATTTACGTGTATCTTTATACTGCAAATGCTTGCTAGTACTTTTCAAAATGCTTCTGCCATAGAATAAATGTTTAGTTTATTTATAAAAGTATATGTTTATGAGAGAAATTCGGATCCGCCTATGAATATATAAAAAAGATATGCGGATTTATAAGCACAATTTGCCAATGAATGCATACTCTTATTGGAATAAGGCGAATTATTCTACGGGCAAGTTTCCTTAGGGGCAAACTCTCTAGCATTCTCGCGCATGCATAGCCTGTCGTTTGTCCATGGCATCCGGTTTAACTTTGCTTATATATTAACTGCGTGGACCTCAGGGTCAACGCAACAAGCTCCCAGCACTCTCAAAATTAGTTGGAAAAATAGCCATACCTTTTTACAAAAATCTAAAAATTTTATAGAAACGAATATATCTGAACTTTTCAGATGTTCGAAGGACTGTGTCTGTCATTTAAGTACGTTTCTGTAAAAAAAAAAATGTGACTTACTGTGTCTTTGTGTGGGGTTTATACATTTTCAATTTAATCAGTTTTACAAAGTAATGATCTTTACATTCGATAATATTTCTCCGTTTTGGTCAGGAAACACTTGTTTAATTTAATTTAAATAAATATATACATAAGAATACGTAGTTTTGACACGTTTACTTATTCGTCGATTTTTGCTAATGTTATTTAAATGAAAACATTTTTTTTTTTGAGAGTGTATGAAAATGAAAATTAATATTTATTCACCAAAGTAGAGTTAATAATATAAAGTGAAACCTGTATTTCAAATATTTGTGGGAATAGAGAGGGTGTCTGATTTCACAATGCAGAGTTAATAATATAAAGTAAAACCTGTATTTGAAATATTTGTGGGAAATGAGAGTGTGTCTGACTTCACAATGTTCAAACATCGAAATAAGTAATATGGGAAAGAAATCTTTAACGTCAAAATTCACAGTGTGTCGGATTATTCAGGTGTCGGATAAGACAATTATCACTGTAGTTATTTTATTGTTTTAATGTGACATAATAAATGTCTTCCCGAACCTCTGCATAGGGCGATGTAATTATGAGAGTCCTTAACCTAGCTGCCTTACATGTATGTGTTCAGCAATTTAGAATTAAAAGGAGAATTCGATTACACGGTCAGTTTGTACTTGTTCCTGATGACAAAGCACTCATCAGTCATCAATCTTGTAACAAGATTGTCTTTATTTGAAAAACTCATTTTCTTAAATGTAATTTCGAGGAACTATGGATTAATTCTCCTGGTAGTCATCCATCGTATACATACAGCTTCCTAACAATGGAACATTTTTTAAAATCATATATGGATTTTAAATATATTAATATTCCCAACAACCGGAATGAATTTGAAATTTCCCTATAAACATATATATATAATATATCATTCAGGAAGATAATATCATCAAAAATCAATTACTTCCTTACATGTTTTGGAACTTAATGGCAAGGCTTAATATACCATAACGGAACTATTGAATGTATTAATATCTATGCAAGTACTTTGAATTTTTAAAAATCGCGTACATGTATGATTTATTAGACTATTACATATCATTAACTGGAATGGATGGGTACAATTTCAAATACTCCTTTCTCCTCTGTTTATTTTACTTCAGTATGAATAATGCACAACGCAATTTGGAATGCAGGTAAAGATATCCGTTTTAAAATTTTATTGAGATTTTTTTTTTAATTTTTGACAGAATTATCATTTACACTTTTAACATGGTCAATTTCTTCTTGATAATCAGTTTCCCTTATGGTCTGGACTGTTGTGATGGCTATTACAGGAATGTCTCAAGCAACAAATGCATAGGTTTGCTAATACATTATTCACAATTTTCAATTATTATGTTTTGTTTTTTTTCGGCCCGTTATCGAGGTTACTGTTTTTCATAGTCTTTTGGCTTTGGTTGTCTGCTCATATATTACTAAGTAATCTTCTTTTGTATAAATAACGTTTTATTGATAAGAACTAGATTTTATTAATCAAATCTGCATTTCTTTTGACAAAACCTTTCGTTGGATACTAATAAATAAAATCACTTTGCCTTGATTTTTGAGGTTGACCTCCTTTTACAAATTCTATCAAAATTTAACCTTGTACAGAACTTCGGTCGGTTAATACTTTTATGTTTATATGTATTTTATTTTTTACCAGACCTTTCTTTGGAAAAGAAAAACCCAGAAGTTGTTGAGTTTATTTTAAGGTTTTGCATTATATACGTATTCCTCTTGGCAAGTCCCTGCCTTCGGGGTCATAATTTTTCAGTGATTGATGTTAGACCTTTCACATTGAATTCGTTTTATTATTTTTTTGATATACCAACATTTTTACTCTAGATATTGTTACCCTCGAATCATGAGTTTTCGTGGTATTACGGTTAATTTGTAATAAATTTCTTCAAGACTGAATAATTGAGTTGTTTGTTATTTATCACACATACAAACAATAATTCTCCTTATTTTAAAATGATTTTAACTCACAAATCATTTATTATTTGTTCAGAAGGTCATTGAATTCTTGCATAGTTGCTCTTTCAATTTTTTTGCCGACGTCATATGTTTTCGTGGTATTTATAAAACAAGTAAACTTTGGAAATCTAGTTGGGAAAAATCCTTGTAAATTTTACAGTGTCAAAAATACTATAGTTAATTGACAAAATGATTACATTATTTGACATGGAAATTTATTTGTTGTTAATTAAGACCACATCTATCTAGGCGTGTCTCAGATGTATTGCTAAATAATGTAAAAAAAAATTCTCTCTCTTAAGAGTGGCCTAGAAATAATTTTGTAAAGCTTTATTTGAATGTTTCATCTTTTAAAATATAAATTCCATGTATACTTAAAGAAATTAAATGTTTAATTCAATTAATTATCAATGGCATAATATTTTTCTCAGCATATACCTTTTTAACACCCCCGATATTTTCTTTGAAAATTATATAAAAAATGACGTTACTAGATCACCGTAGAAAAAATATCAAAAGTGGGAAATTCCAAATTATTGTCACATGACCGGAAGCTGTTTGGATAGTTAACAGACGATGATATGCAGGATCGCCGGCTATTAGTTTGTAAGTTTGATATTCTAGTTCAAAACACGACGAATAAGCATATATTACGCAAATCGTCAAATTTGCGAACTATGCATAACTCATTCGCTATATTTTATTTTGGCAAAGGCAAAAAGGTTTAACATTTGGTCATAAAACATGCACAGGGTTCCCCTTTATTAATAGCATATATGACGTCATTCCGATCTCGCATTGCCGGATTATTCCTAAAAATAAAAAATACCACGAAAACGTATATACCACGAAAACACATGACCGGACGGTATATGGATTTTTGAGTTTGAACTCCTTTGCAAATCTTTGCTCTTTAAGTTTTATAGATACAAATATTATATAGATATTTTCAAGATATTTAATCACATCAATAAAGAATTGTACATGTATGTCTATATTCTATATGAGAAAATAATTATGAAGTTATATCGATGTAACTACTGTTGAGCTTTGTCATCGCAAATGTTTTTGTCGTCCCAATGAGTCCAATAATCCGGGAGTGAAAAAAGAATGAGATAAATTAATTGATCAGTACGTATAAGTCCTTGCTGTCAAAGCAGGTAACATAATTGTCTTCGTTTGTGAGGCTAATTATAAATTGTATTTTTTTCTACTTGGATTTAATTCTGCAAGTGGTAATCCAAGTTATACTCGTAGTTGGGAATTCTCCAAAATCATAAGTCAGTTTAAAATAACTTTTTTTTTATTAATATTGCAAGAACCAAAACGAATTGTTTTGCTTGAAATAGACGTTAATGGTAATCTTACAACCAAGTTCTATGAAAGACGTGAAGTCTTTAACTTTTCTATCGTCAACGCCCCTTACTGCAATATACTTTCATAACATATATACGGGTTTAATATATCTTTGTTGATTCGATAAATTAAGCAAAAGTATGCTACGTATGATCATTTTCTAAAACGATGTAAATCATTGACAAAACAAGTAGATGAAACAAAATTATCAGAAGTCACCTTTAAAGTCATCATTTCGTACGATCTACGGTCGATACAATTGCCTTGTCAGCACACACAATTTATCATTGAATCTAATGCTGGCTGACATACTTATGGACTTTTACGAGAAGCTTTGACTTTTACAGTTGACGACCTACTTTTACACAAGGCAAATATACGGACTCTTTTACGATATAAATATTTACCTAAACATTTCATTCAACAAAATAATGGGTTACCCCCATCTCTCGGCCTTCTTACACCATTACTATGACCACTAGAAGATTGTCTGATGAATTCTGTGCCTCCGATACAGGTTAAAATATCCATGTAAAAATCAACCGTAAAAGTCAGTGCTTCTCGTAAAAGTCCAATTATAAGTCAATTATTTATACACTGGATTAACGACGGATTTTTCCGATATTTCCCAATAATGACAAGATGCACACGGCGGCTGTGACCGATTGGCAGGGAATGCTTACACCTTTATGGCATCTGATCCCACTTCTGATATTCTGTAGGTCCGTGTTTGCTTTTCTACTGTTTTGTATTGTTTCATTTACATTGATATTGAATACTGTTCGTTATCTCTATATTCTACATGAAGTAAGACAATGTACAATAGTTTAACACAAGTATAGAGACCTTTAAGCTTCCGTTTTATCTTGTGATAATGTCTTTCGTATGGTATCAGCATGCATCTTTTAACTCTTAAGTGTGAACTTCCTTTAAAAAAGAGTCAAATCTTAATATGGTTTCTTAAATTAATTTTCTTAAATTTATACAAGGAATTATAACAGTTACTAACGGACCATTTAAAAGGTGTTTTGAGAACTATTTGTTGTTTTAACATACATTCATTATCAAGATGTTATATGTACCTTTATATATATGTCTTATTTTTCAGCTTGTCAAATTGGCTATCATGGACAAAACTGCTCTGTAAAATGCGTGTTTCCTTCCTTTGGGATGGCTTGTGATAAAGAATGCAAAGAGTGCAACGAATCAGAATGTCATTATGATGTAGGATGCAGTGGAGAAATGGGTAACTATGAAGTGATTCTATATGCATTGTTTTTTTTAAATTAAAGATATTATAGTTATTGAAAAAAGGTTAATGTTAAAGGGAATTTCGTCTAAAATACCTTTTTCTGATGTTTTATTTTCTGCGTTATATTTCATTCATGATATATTAACGATCGTCATTTTAATTCTATTTTTATGTTAGATGTAAAAATCTCTACATACGTCACATTTCAAAGGATGCAAACAACAAGACTATATCGGGTTCTTACAACAACAGGCAGCAAAAAAGGCAATATTAATTTTTAGTAACATAAATATAACACTGAATATGAAGGAAGAAAATATTAGAACATGATTTTCACTTTCAATTTGATGTTTTAGAGTTCATCGAAGAAAATACAAAGAAGATGGAAAAGGTCATGAATAACATAATCTATCAACTAATTGTAATTCTTGCAGTTGTTTCTGGGATTCTCGTGTGTGTTTACTTTTTACTTTATTTTCAAACGAAATGTAACCGGAATGAAAATAACGAATTCGAAATGGATGTTGCTGTCCGACATGAAAACGTAATTCCTTGAGTTAAATTTCCTAATTGATTCCATATATAAGTTTAACGATTGCAGAACAAAATGTGGGATTGTGCAAATTTTTGAAATGTTTAATGATTAAAGATAACTTGGAAGTACATCAAAAAACTTAAAAGATGACTTTTTATATATTTATTCATATTTAAGATCATTAAGCAGCATTGGTACTTTCAATACATTGGAATAATACAATTCATTTCAACTTAAAATTCTATTTCAAAGACGTACCGGAATGTTATTAATCATTTTATCTAATGGTGCTCAGTCGGTAGAGCGCTAACTCAGATCAGAAGATCGAGTGTTCGAAACAGGGTGTCAGTTGATCTAAGTCAATACAACAGGTAGCAATAAATCATTCACCAAATTGCATTTATATAAACATATATTTGAAAAATTTAGGATAAGTAAAAGGTATAAGAAAAAAGGGGTTATTTGGTAAAATTACATACAGTTTATATAGTATTTTTCATAAAACAACACAATTGCACAACTAGATTAATAGTGACATTCCAATTGAGTGTTGAATTTGGGAAAACAGAAAAAAAAGTTTTTTTAATCATACAATTATATAATCATTGTATCAAATTGGGATATTCACAGAACTATATACGAGGGTTGTTCATAAAGTTCGTGGACTCCTGCCATATCTTTTTTATTTAAAGTCATATACTAACCAAATTTGGTAGAAATGTTTTAACAATAAACCCAATGATTTGTATTAAAAATTTCTAAATTATCATAATTTACTTCAAACCTATCCAGATTGATTGATCGATTATATGTTGTTTAACGTCCCTCTCGAGAATTTTTCACTCATATGGAGACGCCACCACTTGCCGGTGGAGGGCTACAAATTTTGTCCTATGCTCGGCACTCAGGGCCTTTGAGCAGTGAGGGATCTTTTTTGTGCCAGCACCTACTGCGACACGGGGCCTCGGTTTATACGGTCTCATCCGAAGGACCGCAAATCTATCCAGAATTAAAAACTGCAAAAATCGGATCGCTGAGCAGGTCAACATTAAGTAATTTACAAACAATACACGAAATAAATATGACAATTTCTTCTCTGTCAAATGGAGCATAAACCAAAAAAAAAAATCCTTCTATATTATTTATGGTCCATTGATTAATATTCCAAATTATGCCTTATATCTTAATTCGTTGAAAAAGAAATCAATTTGGGAAGTTAGGTAGTCCTCATTAAAAGTTCCAAAAACGACGACGTTGTTGAACGTCAAAGGGCAGCATGCAGATAACGATGCAATTGTGTGTCATACTCGAAAGAAAATTCTAAATTAAATCTAAAGATGTAAAAGGAATCAAAAACTATGTCACAATTAAGTCGTGTATGTGTTTATTGATGGTATAGGTGGTATTTGAGTGCCAGACACTCTGTATCGGACGAGAACAATCTGTGAAGAAATGGTTTGTTTGACACAATCTGATCAAAAACTTAGAAATTTGGATCGTCATGAAAAGACATACTAGACAGATGCCTCTGAGTTGTTGATCTTGTGAAAGTACAGCTTAGTGGAAAGAAAACCCAGACTCGGGAAATTATACAACGAGAACAATTGTTAGAAAAATGAATTTCAAATGCTAGAAAAAGGCTTTTAATAAGTATTTGTTAAACTAAACAGTTGAAATGTACAGAGATAGTATTTGTAGGAAATTAATGATAATAATCTTTATAACTAATAATCTTTTTGACGTTACATTGTCGTTAGGTACAATATTTTTACACAAAATTTCAAGCTTATATGAAATTTTTTGAAAGTAGTATAACGAAAATTGACAGCGTCCACGAACTTTTCGAACAACCAGCGTACATTGTATTTCTTTTTCTCAGACCAATCTTTCAATCTTAAACCATATTTAATGTTGGTTTCTTAAAGATATTAATTACAAAAAGGTAAGCAATGTAGCAGTTTTTTCTTAATCAAACTAGCAGCGCTAAGTAAAAAAAACATTGATATGAAAAACAGAAAAATCAAAGGACGATTATACTTGATGAAATTGATTTCATTTTATTTCAGAAATTTTTTGAGCATTTCCATTTTCTTTTAAGTGTTCATTTTCATTGTTTTTTAGTTAAGAAATGGGTGTGTTATCTCTATTCCATTCTGACTATACGACGTAATCTCTTAACAATTTGCTAGTTTTACCCAAAATAAACATAATGTTTATATGTGAATCATTTCAAGCCAAGATTTAAGATTTTAAAGAATTACAGGCCTTTTCTTTTTCTTTTTTTTAGAGTGATCCTCATTTTTCAGCAGGTTAATCAATTCTTTTAAAAGAATACAATTTCCATTTATTTACTTACTATTACGGATAAATCTTTTGTATTGCACCACAAAATATGTGTTGAGAGGAAACTGTTAATAGTCTTGTTGTTTTGAACTTTGAAACTTCGATATTAATTATAAAAATTAATATATTTAAAAACCATATTGCTCTATAAGATGCAAGTTTTTTGTACAAATATGAAATGAAATTTTGAACTTAAAAATATGAAAAACGTGTATATTTTAAAGTATAATCACTCTTTTACACAGGCATACACAAAAGAACGAAGTTCAATTGTCGACAAATTAAGCTCCATTTCAAAATTAAATAATGATTCTCCGATTTCTATAATAATATATATTATTATGAAATTGGGAATTTATGCTTGGCCAAAGATTTGTAAGTTTGACATAACTGGAAATGTAGCATAATTTACCATAACCCTGCGATATTCTTACGTTGCTTTTTGCGACTTCATGAACAAAAATGGCCAGATGTGAAATTTCAAAATAAACCAGCTACATATTGTAACATGTATATTCCATTTTGTACTTTCATTTAATCTCATTCATAAACGTGCATTGCAATGGGCTGTGGTGCATAAGAGTATATATGTAAGATAGGAGCGATAGACCTATATGTAGCATAAACTGAATCATAATACATAATATATACATGAAGTAATGACAAAAAGAATAGACAATTTACATACTTATTCATTAATTGTCTAGAATCACAAGGTTTGTATGTTTTTCAAGAAAGCATTGCCTATATCTGCGTGTATTTACAAATATTTAATCCTTATCTAGACATTCATCTTTGCTGGAATTTCTGATCCTACTATGTAAGTTTCATGCAATAAAACTTGTTACCTTAAATAGTATTGAAAAAACACCATCCCCTCCTCCCCCCTCCAGAAAAGGTGTAAAAAGTAAAAATTTTACTGAATGCTACTGATCGAAATATGATCGAACGCAGAGCGAACGGTGAGTGAACGATGTGCGAACGCTGAACGCAACTTTGTGAACGATGTGTGAACGCTGAGTGAATGCAGAACTCGATTGGAGCGCGAACGCAAGCGCAATGTGAACAATGAACGAACGGTGAACACAAGATGAACGATTTATTCGGAATGCCTCTTATCATTTCAAAGCATGGAATTATTCTATCATTCTATAATTTTTAATTGCAGGTGCTAAAATATAATTAAACAATAGATAAATAAATAAATAATAAATAAAACAAGCTTTTTTTCTGCTTATACATGTACTGTACGTATGTTTGAAATCGATATTTTAATAACACGATTTTAATTGCCGTAAAACATGTGTATTTATTTCGAACGGAAATTACTAATTGATGTGGACTTCGGAAGATAAATCTTGTACTTATGAAATGAATTAATTACATTATACCCGGTTGAAACAACCATACATGTATTTCCGTGCCAAGGTGATTCTGAATAGAATAACGGATTTCTTTTTTTAAATTTACAAATGTCTGTTGATGTATTGCAAAAGTACACTTGTCTTTTAAAATTCTAATGCAAAATATTATATATTTATTTATGTGTCTTTTTTAAAATTCTTTTATGATGATTATTTTACATGTGGCTAACTTCTACATATGTATCTGTAGACATTTCCCGGCTGTGATTATACTCGGACAAGATGATAGAAGGAGGCAATCAAATTATTTAATTGTAATACATTAAATTTTCAAAACTAAAGAAGTAAAGTGATGTCAAAGTCTTGTTTGAAAAAAGAAATGTACAAGAGAGAGAGAGAGAGAGAGAGAGAGAGAGAGAGATATCCCCCTCCATACTTAGATATCTGTTTTATCAGTTTGAAATAAAAATTCTTATTTTTTCCTAAATATTCCAAGCAGTAAAAGTAAATATTTTATTAGAAATTCGGTAGCGCACAATAAATTTTAGCTCTCATGGGCTCTTGCGTTAAAGGTGCCAAACTAGTAGTGCGCCATATATTCTCGTTTTAATGTAAAATGATATGTTACCTAGAATATCAAATAAGAACTTGAGGTTCAACATTTAAAATATTAGAATGGAACTTGACACATGACAAATGTAAAATATTAAACGGAAACTGAAGAGTCAAAATACAGAATATTCTGCTTGTTTGATTTGCTTGTTATTGAGCGCCAAAACCAAACTCTTTTGATTTCGGTATGCATATTTTTTTTAATCAGCTGTTTTCCACATAAACTCTCAAGCTTGATTACATTCAATTTTAAATTGAATTGTCTTTAATCATAGATTTTATAGTCTTTGAACACATGACCTAAACTGCAGCATTAAATATCCATACCCATTATACGGATTTGTCTGTCAAAAATAATGTTTTATCTCACGATCGAGATTTATGCTATGCATCCTATAGATTTATCAGTTCTTATGTTACACAAAGA